GCCACCTCCATAACTTCCTCCTCCTTCCTCTCCGTTTGAAGGTGAAGTGTGCCAACATCCTCTGTTAGGGTCTTTAAGCAGTTTCCCCACCAAAGTGTGGACAAGTCCTCCTTGGATACCGTCGATTTAATATTTGTATTTGTTTTATCGTTCTTTTTCCAGGCATTTTGTTCCCACAAGTATGGGGGTCTAATGGAACTGCAGGTACTACTCCCTCTCCCTGCAGCTGGCATAACGTTCAATGGGGTGTCACCCAGTTCCCCAAGAGGGTCGATAAAAGACAGTATATTTTTACCCACCCTCTGCCATTCAGCCACAGCCACTCAAGCGCCCGGAACTAGCTTGGGTACCTAACAGGTTCATCATTTCTATCTCACATATATCATCTGCATATACACTGACAGGCGAAAAATTCCACCCACTTGATTTTTTCATGTTTTCATCTAAAAATATTTCTGCTTTGGATTGGTCTATTGTTTTTAATGAATAAATAGGTAATCTTTTTGTTTGTTTTCAATTAGGAATGTTAATATAGAGGACAATAACCCTTAATCCTTAATTCAATGAAATGATTCTAGATTCTAATGTTTACTTTCTATGGAATCAAAATGTTTATTTAGTATCATTAGTTCAGTTCCATTTCTTGCAGCACATTTCTTAGTCTCTGCCTTTTAATTTTTTCAATATTAAGTTTAAAAATGCCTCTTAGTGCTGAGGATGTTGCGCATGGTGTGGCACTTATTGATGATGGACGTTCCATTAGATATGTAGCTAATGCCATCGGAGTTCCATATGAAACTTTACAAGATGCCGTCAGGCGTTTTCGGGAAACTGGTTCTTACAATAGAAGGTCCGGTTCGGTATGGCCTAGGGTAACAGAACCACGGGATGACAGGTTTTTGACTTTGAGAATTTTACGAAACCGGCACCTTACCATTGTTCAAGCGATTCATCAGCTCGAAGAAGTTCGAGGTGTGCAAATTTCTGAACGTACCGCTTGGAGAAGATTAAATGAGTATGGATTAATGGCTTTTCATCCAGTAAGAGGACCAGAGTTGACCAGAACTCACAGAGTAACACGGCTGGCTTTTGCTCGAGAACACAGCCATTGGACTATGGACAAATGGAGTGCTGTACTTCTTACAGATAAGTCAAGATTCGCTCTTCGATCTTCAGACGGGTGTGGAGAAGAAGAAACGAAAGATATGCAGCCTGTATTTTTTCCCAGAGCCAACCTTTCCAACGTGGTTCCTTAATGGTGTGTGCTGGGATTTCAATGGAGCGCCGCACAGAATTGGTTGTTGTTCATGGAGGGTCTTTGATGGCCATTCGCTATGTAGATGAGATTTTGGAACCTCATGTGTTACCTATCCTCAACGAAATCGGCGATCGTTCTATTCTAATGCACGGTAATGCACGCCCACATGTTGCCCACGTAGTGCAGACGTTCCTTCAACAGAACAATATTGAGGTTTTAGCACGTTCTCCAGATTTGAACCCCATTGAGCATTTATGGGATAACCTCGGAAGACAAATAAGAGCGCGTGCAACACTTCCTGATACACTGCAGGACCTTAAAGACCACGCGCAACATCCTCAGCACTAAGAAGCATTTTTAAACTTAATATCGAAAAAATTAAAAGCCGGAGACTAAGAAATGTACTGAATAAACATTTTGATTCCATAGAAAGTAAACATTGGAATCTAGAATCATTTCATTGAATTAAGGATTAAGGGTTATTGTCCTCTATATTAACATTCCTAATTGAAAACAAACAAAAAGATTACCTATTCATTCATTAAAAACAATAGACCAATCCAAAGCAGAAATATTTTTAGATGAAAACATGAAAAAATCAACTCGGTGGAATTTTTTGCCTGTCAGTGTATATGGATAGAAGCTTTTTTCCAAGAGGTAGGAAAAACAGAATTTTGGAGGGAAAAGTTATAAATTAATAGAAGGACTGGAAGGATTTCAGGAAGGCACAATTTTAACAATTTGACTGGAATTCCATCGAATCTGATGAAATTGGAATGAGATTTCATTATGGAAGAAATACGGTCCGTAGGAGAGATATCGGAAAAATAAACATTGTCACTATTGCATGAAGATGATACAGAAATGTGGGAAGAGAAGGAAGAAATATTGCTTGAGGAGGAAGATAGAAAGTATGAAATTAATGCATCAGGAGAAATTGGGAAGACCGAAGGGGAAGAAGATTTGCAAATCGACAGGTTTCAAAGTAGATGCCATTCAGATTTAGAATTTTGAGCGGAAAAGGCTTCATGAAAGAATTTAGATTTCGCTTGCTTGATCCTTGTTTGCCTCAGATTGCGGAGTGCCCTATGCGCTTGTATAGGGTGCCCTATACGCTTGTAATGCGAGCATGGTTCGTCTAAAGCGTCTGCAGGCTGCTTCACGTTTCTTTTGCATATCTCAAATTTCCTGGCTCATCCAAAGAACAGGTTGGCGGCGGTACTTAGAGGTTTTAAGAGGCACATGGATATCAAGGATACTGAGGACATTAAAAGTCAGGATTTCAACCATTGAATCGATTGAGGAGGAGGTATAAATATCATTAAAATATAATTTAATTCTGGAACTGAAGTCCAGATATTTCACAAATTTTTCCAATATTTCACCCGTAATTTCTACCACATTATTGCGTTTCCCGGACTGGTGGAGGTGTTGGTCTCGATGTTCACAATTGTCTGAAACCCCATATTCTAGATATTTCATCCCCTTCCAAACATCCTCACATTGAATTCCTTTTCGCTGAAATTTCTTTTAATGCACATCCTCTCCTTTATGTGGTTGTATATCGTCCTCCTTTGACTCCTTTTGACCCATCCTTCGAGTCAACCTTGTACAATTATGTTCCTTTCTGTAATAACATTATAATTTCCGGTGATCTTAATACCAACCTTCTCACAGAATCCAACAACAAACGCTACTTGGAAAACCTCTTCTTATCCCTCAACTTTTTTATTGTTCCTTTCGCTCATACACCCCATACTTATTGGTTTGACACCTGGCTGGACCTACATATCATCGATTCAGACAGACACTCTTGTCCTGTTCTCAATTACCCGTTCCTTTCCTTTCTTCTCATGATCTCATCCAATTATCGTACGATATCCAAACTCCCACATTTCTTCCTAAAACCATAACTTTCTGCAATCTTGACACCCTCACCCGTAATAAAATCATACCTGACCTTGAAACCCTAAACTGGAACGATATTTATTCCTGCAACTCCTCTATTGATCATATGGTAGACATCCTCACTTCTAATCTTATCCACACTTCTTTCTTCGCCATTCTTTGTCATGCATGCTACCTTGTTTTGGAATTCCCTACCAACCTCCATAAGCAAATCATCATCCTTGACTTCATTTAAACATAATTTATTTATCCATCTCCTCAGTAATCAATCTTCCGAATATGTGTAAAATATTGTCCACGTTTTTCAGATCTATTAGTCGCTTTAATGTTATCTGACAGATAATTAAATATCACCCACATTGTTTATGTGTACAAATATGAGAACTCGCATATCTGAATTTATCTATGATTTCATAGATCTAACAGTGCCTTTTCTTTATTGTAATCCTAGATCTAGACAATCATGTAATTTAATTTATTCCTAATGCCAGACAATTGTCATTAAATTGTACATTGTAGTTATTCTAAGGGGAGTTAGTCCCAGAATAAAATTTATTTTTCTTCTTCTACTAACAGTAATGTGGTAAGAACCAACAACCATACATCTAAGGAATTTCAGAGCACCCAAGAAATAAGACAGGGCAGTAGTATTAACCCATTATTGTTTATAATGGTGTGAAACGTGGCAATGAAGAGTGCTAAGACCAGAGTTTCAGAACTTTAGCCTTACCGTGGACAGGGCCACTGAAAACTGAGTCCAGTTCATCTCATCCTTCAGGCATATGCAGACGATATTGTAGTATTCGGGAACAATTAGAAATTAGGGATAGAATAAGAGTGGCCAGCAAATGCTTTTATTCACTAAGGTAGGCTTTTTGGAAAATAAGAGAAGAAAGAGAGAAGTAATAAAAAAGGTGAAGAAAACAGTGTTTAAAGATAAGTTCATCTTCATACATATCCGCCATGCCTCTTCCTTGTCCTCATTTAAATATCATCTCTACCAATTCCTTCTCACATCCCAAAATGACTTTATACAATGAAATAAATATTGTGAAACAGATTTTGACTGAGGTGAATGGTTGTTAAAATTGTTTGAGTTTCGATTTTAAAAATCAACCCATGATTATATTATTTTGTTATTTGTTTTTTTAAATAATAAAAAAAATGTATTCTCTTTTGTCTGTTTTTCATTTAAATATATTTTTTTTCAAAATGTTGTTATTTTTACTTGTTTTATTACACTTTTACTGAAGATACTGTATATATTATTTAATATTGATTGATGCAATTTTTGGCCAGATGTAGTTTTTATTTATTTTTTGTTTATAACTCTTATTCATAAGTGACCTAGTCCCAGAATAAAGTTTATTTTATATCTATCTACTTTTATCTATAATTTCTTAATTCTATCTTGTATATATATATGTATATACTTATAATTAATTAGTTCATAGATATAGTATTTTTTCTTTTATTCAACAATGTCTTCAAATTTTAGATATTGTAATATTCCTGGTTCTTGGTTTTGTTTTACTACTTCTAGCCCTGGAGAAGACTTACAAAGTTGGGTCTAACCTTTTGCTTGAAATAAAATAGTTTTTTCACTATTTTAATATTTTTTGACCGCCACCCCATACCATCTCCTTCCTCAATAATTCAGTTCAGCTTTTGTTAATTAATTAAAGATATTAAGTATTTTTAAAAAAATGTTTCATTGCACTTCTAATCTTGATTTTTTTTTTAATTTCCTTTTTTTACAATTTTGAAATTTAATTTATGTTCCAATTAATAGTGCTTTCACCTTGTAACTAATAATTTTATTTTTATTTTCTAGTCAAGGAAAGTTTACTGGTGTAATAGTGGCAGCGGAACCATATCTAGAATCAACTATGATGGTACTACCTTAGAAATGATACTTTCTGATGGTCTTAGATCCCCATTTGCAGTCACATACTTCAATAGTTCTATCTACTGGATTGACTTGTAAGTGTTCGTTCTAATACATTTGTCACAAATAAATTAGAAAATAACAATCTGATAATACTTCAGTATTTTTCTCTTTGTTTAAACCTTTATTCTTTTCCTTCTCCCTATTGTTTTATTTGTGTTATCTCATTTATGCAAGTTCATATTTTTTATGATCCACAGGTAGAATGGCCTAAAAAATAACAAAATAAAAAAATAAAATAGAAAAACTATTTTAGGATTTGACTAGTAGCACTAGAAATAAAGTTTTTGTCTCAGAAGAAATTAAAGACAAGCTGACTTTTCAACAGTTGTTGGAATTCATTAATAGGTATATTTTCTCTAAAGTCCCCATCCCTCCTCTTCTGGTTCCCACCTCCAACATCTGTTGAACATCCGTTTCGAGACTTTCAGTTATGATAATCATAAAACCGCTGTTTTTCATTTGAAAATTATACAGCTTGTATCATTTTATTCCTTTTCATCTTAAGAAAAAGTTTTTATTATGTTTTTGCATAAAAATAATACTTTTACTAGAATTTGCTAAAATATTTAAAAATTTCAATTTGAAATTCATATTTTATGTAATTTTTAGTGAGAGCACTTTTCTATTTCTTCTTCTTAATCGACTGCTCTTCTTCTGTCATTCAGTGTTGAGGATCCTGTTTATAGAGCCTGATCCATGTATCATGATCTTGCACCAGCTGATTGTGTCTATTCCAGTCTATTTCTCTCCTATCAAAAGCTTCCCTGACTACACTTTCTCATGTGTTTCTAGGCCTCCCTCTTGACTTTCTTCCTTCTACTCTTGTTGACTACATGATTTTTGCATTCATTCCTTCTGCATTCTTTTAACTAGGTCATATCAGTGTATCCTATTTTTTTCTATTATGTTTTTAACTGGTTTTACTCCTGAATTGCTTCTAATTGTTGTATTTCTAATTTTTCCACCTTTTGTTTTTCCCTTTATTTTTCTCAGGAACTGCATTTCCTATATTTGGAGTTGGTTTCTGTGATTTTAGGCTACACTCCAGAATTCACTGGCAAAATTATCCAATATATTATCTATTATATATCGTAAATTACTCATGAAACATTTTATCTCCCATGAGTAAACACTCATCAAAATGTTTGTTTTCATGAATAAATCACTCATGAAACATTTTAAAGCCATGAGTAATTTTTAAAAAATATGTTTTTATTTAATATAATCAGATATTTTTTGGAGGCTTTACCCAATGTTTTATACTTACCGAAATCATTAAATAAATACAGATATATATTTTTGTCTATGGTAATGTAATTGGTCCATTGTTGGAACTAAATTCCTACTTTATATCTTCCACCACCAGCAACAGTTCACCCACCTCTCACCAGTTTTCCTTATCACCCTCATTTAACAGTGATAATTTCTATTTCTCCAACATCTCACCGACCGACCTTATTTCCTCTATAATGAAATCACACACAAACTCCATCGGACTTGATGGGATACCAGTCAAACTATTAAAATTATGCCTTCCCGAAGTCGTTCCAGTTCTCCTTTTCATCTATAATTTTTCCCTCCAGAACTCAGTTTTTCCAACTGCTTGGAAAAAAGCATTAGTCAGACCTATCAACAAAATTCCCAATCCTACCTCTCCTAAAGACTACCGCCCAATCTCCATCCTTTCTAACCTTTCTAAACCTCTGGAAAGAATAGCTCAATCCCAAATCTCTAAATTCCTTGAAAACTCAAAACTACTCGATCCTCTCCAATGTGGCTTCTCCACACAATCCGCCCTAGTAAAAATTACCAATGACTTACATACCGCAATGGACGAAAAAATGTTAACTGTGTTAATACTTCTCGACTTTTCCAAAGCTTTTGACTCCTTAGACCACTCTATACTCTATACTAAATTAAAATCTCTATCCTTCTCCAACAGCTCTATCCTCTGGTTGCAGTCTTTCCTATCCGACAGAACTCAAGCAGTCAGCATTCCAAACCAACCCCTATCTTCCTTTCTTACACTGTCCTCTGGAGTGGCCCAGAGTTCGAGCATTTCCCCTCTCCTTTTCAATTCCTACATAAATGATCTTTCCAAATCCATCTACCACTGTTCACATCATTTATACGCTGATGACACCCAAATATATTTTTCCTTTCATCCTTCTGAGCTACTAGTCGCGTTCGCCAATATTCAGGCTGACCTAGATAGGATCAGTGCCTGGGCAAGTCTGAATAATTTAAATCTAAATGCGATGAAAACTCAGGCCATTATTATAGGTTCCAGTCCTATTCTTAAATCCATCTCCTTCCTTCCTCCTTTAGTCATCAACGATCATCCTGTCACATTCAGTTCATCCGTTAAAAACCTAGGAATCACCATAGACGAAAACCTCTCCTGGAAACCCCATATTGCCCTCATCTCCCGTAAGTCAATAGGTACCCTTAAGCTATTTCATCGCTCCCGCCACCTACTCCCACAACCCATCCGCAAGCTCCTTGTATCCTCTCTCATTTTCCCCCACTTTGACTACGGCTGTGTGGTGTACGGAGGCATCCCGATGGTACTCGAGGATAGATTGAAGCGACTCATGAATACGTGCTTAAGATTTGTCTTCGGTACATCAAAGCGATCTCATGTGTCCCACCTTTACGACGAGTTAAAGTGGCTCTTCCCTTCTTTCCGCAGACAATATTTCCTCGGATCTTTCCTATTCCAAACAATCAACACCAGACACCCTTCTTACATCTACAGTCTCCTACAGTTTAAACCCGTGGTCCACTCCCAGAAAACAAGATCCCGTGTTTCCGACCTTTATATCCCTTCCCATGGAACTAAGACGTTTGAATATTCCTTTATTTCCCGATCCACAGCCTTCTGGAATTCCTTGCCATCTGAAATCCGTCATGCCTCTTCCTTGTCCTCATTTAAATATCATCTTTACCAATTCCTTCTCACATCCCAAAATGACGTTATACAATAAAATAAATATTGTGAAACAGATTTTGACTGAGGTGAATGGTTGATAAAATTTATTGATTCTTAATTTTAAAAAGGGAATCCATGCTTATTTTATTTTATTTTTATTTTCATTTAAATAATGTTGTTTTTTTTATTTCGTTTTTTCTCAAAATTTTATTTTATTTTTACTTGTTTTAATTTAATTTCACTGAAGATACTGTATATATTCTTTAATATTGATTAATGTAATTTTTGGCCAGATGTAGTTTTAATTTTTTTGTTCATATCTGTTATTCATAAGGGACCTTGTCCCAGAATAAAGTTTACTTTCTATCTATCTATCTATCTATCTATAATATCAATTCTTGGTTTGCGCAATTGTTCATCAGGTTTTTGTAATTTTTCGGATTTAATCGATATCTGGGTCAACTATTATGTTTGGGGGGGAGGGTGCTTTTTATGAAAATACTGTCGGATTTGAGATTGTGCCTATGCGCATCACCTTTATCGATATTATGTTTTAGGGATGCTTTTTATGAAAATACTGTCGGATTTGACATTGTGCACCCAGGCAACGCCTCTTTGTAACTTTTGGGATTAATAGCTATCAGGGTCGACTATTATGTTTTGGGTAGTGTTTTTTTTATGAAAATACTGTCGGATTTGAGATTGTGCCCCCGGGCATCGCCTTAATCGCTATTATATTTTAGAGGCGCTTTTTATGAAAATAATGTCGGATTTGAGATTGTGCTACCTGGCATCGGATTTAATTGCTATCAGGGTGGCCTATTATGTTTTGGGGGCACTTTTTATGAAAATACTGTCAGATTTGATGTAGGTGGCTTTGGCGAGTTGGACTGTAGATTGGGTTCCATTGAGAAGTTCCTTGAAGGACACATAATCCGCAGGCAAACTGGTTTAACGGTACTTGCGCCTTGCTGTATCCCTTCTTTTCATCATTTCCTTTATTTCAGGAGTCAGCCAAGGTGCAGTGGGGCGAGTTCTAGTTTTCAGAGGAGCATGGATATCTAATTAGGACTATAGATTTGAGGTTAAGTTAGACATCATAGGATCAATGGAATTATAGAAAGATATGATGTCTCATTGGAAAGAATCAAGGTCAGGTTGAAGGGATTCATAGGAGTTAAGATTTAAATTGCGGTATGAAACTACTTTGGGAGTAAAGGATTTCATGAGTAGGTCGTATGTAATTTGGATTAGGTCGTGTGATGAAAGAAATGGAACAGGATGTTGAGAAGAGGAGAGGATTTTGATGTGAGAGTTAGAAATGTAGAGTTCTAACCAAGTGTCAGAAAATTTTGTGTGATGGGTAAGAGAATAAGGAACAATATAAAGATTAAGGTAAAACAGTAGGTCAGTCAGGAGATTATGGATTATAAATTACAGGAGTAATTTAGAGGTTTTAAGGCGGAAATGGTACGGCAGGAGATGTTGGATATATGATTTTTCCAGGAAAGCGTTTGATCAAATCATTCCAAGGTTTTTGATGGAGGGATAGAATTTGATGGGATTATCATGTAGGAACAGAGTTGGAATATTAGAAACAGTTTTAAGGAGGTGATTGAAGCCTATTAAGATTGCTTTCGTCTTTTCTGCATTCAACTTCAACTTGTTTTGAATTGACTCACCTGGTTTGTTATTTTTCAATTGTGAGGCATATAGGACAACTAAATAAAATGACTTTTCACTCCTGTATAATAAAACAATTTATTTTGACAACTGTAATAAATGAATCTATTAAAGTCTTATAACTGTAGGCTTACCATTTATATTCTTAGTGTTCAGTGTGGTAGGCTTCTCTTCTCAGGTAACTTCCTTTCGTCTTCCTGTCTCAGCCTCAAGGGCCTTCTCTTCTCTGGTGTCCTTCTCCAGCTGTTGCTACCTGCTCCATCCTTTTCCCAGTGTCCTTCTTCATCGATTGTTTATCGATATGAGACTTTTCAATGAATAATTTGTCCACTGCATAATTGAGTACAACTTCATTGAATTCATTGTGCAACCTTACATTCCTATATATTCCTGCTCATTCCCTCACACAATATCACATAAAGGAGTAAATACAGGGGGCTATCTACTACAAAATGGTACGGCAGGAGATGTTGGATACATTATTTTTTCCAGGAAAGCATTTGATCAAAGATCATTCCAAGGTTTTTGATGGAGGGATAAAATTTGATTTGATTATCATGTAGAAACAGAGTTGGAATATTAGGAACAGTTTTAAGGAGGTGATTGGAGCCTATTAAGATTGCCTTCGTCTTTTCTGCATTCAACTTCAACTTGTTAGCTCTCGCCCAGTCACAAATCCTATCCAAGTCTTCTTGAAGTTTTTCTGTGGCTGATAATAGGTCGGTAGGCGGGAAGGACAGATATATTTGGAAATCATCTGCATATATATGGTATTAGGAGTGATGGATCAGGAGGGAAAGGTCATTAATATAAATAGCAAACAGAGTAGGAGATAGAGAAAAACCTTGAGGGACACCACAGGTAAGGGGGAGGGTTTTAGATGGAGGTTGACCTGGGACTACTACATACTGGGACCGATTTGAAAGGAAGGATTTGAACCAATGCAGGGTACTGTTGGATAGAATAAGATTGTGCAATTTAGTGAGGAGGATGTTATGGTCAACTGTGTCGAATGCTTTGGGAAAATCTAGAAGGATGAGGATAGTACAGTTTTGGTGTTCAATGGAGTTTTGGAGGTCATGGGTTATTTTATACTATATAATATACTTCTACAGATCTACTGGAGAGATTGAAAAAGAAGGATAAAGGATATATGAAATAATAGACATATAGGAATGTGGAGAAAGAAAATAAAACCAAAAATAAATAAATAAGTATATAAAATAAAATTAGAGACTTATAGTTGTGTTCAGCTAGGAGTTTCACTTAGAACTGGAAAATAAGGGTAAGGGTTGGTATTGGAGAATTTTGCTGACCTGGATTTGCTGAATTTGAAAATATGGATGGATACAAGGGAAAAAATACTATATTTTTGAAAGAATAAATTATAAATATATACATATACATATAAAACAGGCTCTTATATGAGAAGAATAGGCTCATATAATAGACAGTTTTCAACTCATTAACAGGTATATCAACTCATTAACACCTGTATACAACCAAAAGAGAAAGCAAACATGATTAGATTTGGAGTTAAAACACGTAGGAGGGCGATGCCTCACCATGAAATGATTTCATATCATAACAGCCAATAGCCATTTGAGTTTTTAATAGAGCAAGACTGGGTCTTTGTTTGAGGGAGGTTTCCGTATCACTTTTCTTTAAGAGATAAGTTCGAAATTTTCATTAATTTATCTGTAGTTTTCCATTTCTTAGTTTGAAACTGCAGAATTTATTTTTAGTTTTGTTTATTATATTAAAAAATCTATTAACCCCGAAACCTCAGTATCTCTTACTGGTACAATATACATTATCAAAATTTCATAAGTTTTTCCTGAATAATTTACTAATTGACTGATTAAAACAAAATTTTATAAAATGATTGAATGTTTCTTTTTTATATTACCTTTTGTATTAAGTAAGAGAATATTTTATTATTACAATATTTGTCTTCTTAATGGATGAAATAATGTACTGATCATTATATATTCTTAATTTTTTTTTGTTCTTATTTTATGATCTTATTTATTTTATGATAATAAAGTGATTCTCTCTCTATATATAGCATTTTCTTTTTTTTTTTTTAATTTCAGGGTAGAAGAAAAGGGGAGCATCAAGAAATACAACTTCAATAGAAACATGACTTCTATATTAGCATCAGGTTTAGGGGACTCTCTTAAAGACATGACAGTGTTTTCTATGTCCCGTCAAAAGGGTACCAACCCATGTGCTAAGCATACTTGTCCTGCATTATGCCTTTTTAATGGTTCCTCACCTATTTGTGTTTGTCCTCATGGCTATGTTTCTGAGGATAGAACTAAGTGCTTGGGTAAGGAATTAGTTATAGAAATTTGACATTTATGAAAGAATAAAAGTAACTTTTATCCCAATTAGATTTTTTTAATTGTTTTGTGATGACATTGACCAACTAACCTAACCTTCAAGGCTTAGGAATTATAAAAAACTGTACTTATTAACTTTATAGAGGTGGCTTAATGAATTTAATTTATGTTAATGTTAGTTTAATTTTTACTCCAGGTGGATGTTTATTTTTATTTCCCCTCCCCCCCCCCCTGACTAAAGTGTTTAAATGAAAATGTTGTGTTCTAGAAGAAATTTATTATTTGTTTTTCTTTTATTTTAACTTTTTGTGTGATTTGTAAACATTTACTAATAAATTTATTGATAATAGTAAGTACTCTCCTCTCTCTAAATTGCACAAGGTATAAGATAAGTCATTATTGAATCAACAGATGGTAAGGTGTCCAACTCTCACATTGAGGACTCGAGTTCGAATCTCATTTCAGCTTATAATTTTTTCAACTCCATTTTAAAACAATAGTTAATTTTTTGGAATTATATATATTTTTTCTTTTTAATTGAAGCAGGTAATTTATGGTTTCCCTATTATCCAGGTATAATAAAAAAATGGTGTAGCGTCCAACAAAAAATTAAGATGTTATAATGATTAAAATTGCCTTTCCTAAAACTTTGTCGTAATCATATATTATTCTTTTTAAGGGGCTGACTGGACCCTATGGTCTGACACGAGCTCCGACCACCGGGTCATAGCCTTCAGTGTTGTGGAGGAGGAAGGCAGAGCCCCCATTTGCGAGAGGGGCTTCGTGACCCGATCGGTAGATTTGAGTACCTACTCTAGTATACTGAAGGGAATAATGGAAGAGAGGGCACCCATTGAGAAAACAGTGGACGTTGATGAGCGGGTGGCAACGTTGATGGATGCCATCACAAAAGCAGCAGAAAATTCTCTCCAGTGTCGAAGGGCGAGGCCACGTCTGGTCCCATGGTGGAAGCCAACCCTGACACAGCTCAAGCAAGACTACTAACTACAGGGCTAGGCCTGGTACCAAGAGTGCAGAGATAAAGAGAGAAGATCTGCACTCTGAGAAGAGACGAAGCATAGGTATAGGGTATACTGAAACGGTATGCGTCTCTACAGAAGAAGAAATCAATCCCCCAGCAAATTTTATTCCCTGTTAGGTAGCTACCTCAGTAACAGGACCGTCTGGATTAGGGGGCTACTACGATGTGGAGAGGAGGATAGAGGCTCAGTCCTGGACCCAGCCCTGTGATAGCTCGTTTCTGACAAGTTACTGGGGAAAATAGAAAATAGGGTGTTCCTTGCCATGGCCTACATCGACAACCTGGTGATTATCATGGCTGAGGACAGCAGAGCCAGACTGAAGACAAAAGCAGAGTGGTACGTGAAGCAAAAACTGACGATGGCCGCTGCTAAGACCCAAGCCATACTCATAAGAGGCTCCACAGTCAGGGCTCACCCTATCAATCTGGACATCCAAGGTGCAAGAATCAGGCCAGGTGAGGAGGTGGCATATCTAGGAGTAAGAATAAGAAGAAACTTTGACGTCACCCCTCACCTGGAGTACCTAAGGAATAGGGTTACCCTGATGATGAATGGTCCGCAATCATCACCTTATACAATACTATCATCCCCTGTGTGGAGCCAAAGCCTCATGCAAAACTATAAGCGAAGACTTGTCACCATGCAACTGGCTCTGTTGGGCATCACGAGGGCCTACAGGACAGTGTCCCACAAGGCAGAGCAGGTGCTGGCCGGAGCAATGCCCCTGGAAATAATACTTAATGAGTCAATTAAGTTAACCCATTTAAGTTTGACATCAAGAGGCAGGGGCTGGAGACACTACCAGAGGGACTCCAAAAGATAATTGGTAAGAGCCCCAACCAATGGAAAAAGATATTCAGGGAGGAATCCATTCAGGAGTGGAAGAGACGGTGGTTGACAAGCAAGAAAGGGTCTACCCTCAGAAAGTTCTTCCCCACCATCCAAGATAGGCTCAAGACGACCTAGATGCTCCCTCATTATTGGTTATCTCAGATTCTCACAGGAGATGGAGGGTTCCAGGGAAAACTGGCTGATCATGGGCAGGATATTAACCCCAGGTGCCCTCCATACGAAGTCCCTGGGACGGCTGAACACATCCTATTAACCTGCAATGTGACGTAGGAACGCCATGCTAGGTTAATGATGAAAACAGGAGTTTATAACCTCACAGAGGCGGACTTACCCCGCCTCATCAAAGAAGAGAAATATTTAATTTATGACTTTTTGCTTTTTTATATTAATTAATGGTGACCCTCATTATTACTATGTGTAGGTCAGTGACACATTGTATACACTCATTGAATTCATAACTGCTTGATATAATCAAGAATAATTTAACTACTAAGTAACGTATGTTCTGTTACCCTCATGTTTTAAAATATTGTTCATTATCACAACATTGTAATAATTATAATTGATTTGTTCACATTAAGATCTCCATTAATAGTTGCTGTACACTTTATTTTTAATACACAACACTATGTCTGAACTGTATTTTTATAATTTGATTAAATATTTTCTGTTTATTTATCTTTCAGATTATGACATTTTTCTTATGTATTCAAAAGTTATCAAGATTGAATCTATTCATATAACAGATGCAAATAATGCTAATGCGCCATTCCCTACCATTCAAGATACAAATCTTATGCGTAATGCTATTGGTCTTGCTTATGACTATGAAAGAAAAACTTTATTTTATTCTGATATACAAAGGGGATCAATCAATGCTGTTCACTTCAATGGAACTAACCATAGAGTCATCATTGAGAGTATGTACTTTATGTTCATTTATATATTTTTGATTTAATGCTTAAAAATCTTTATCTTTTTATGCTCCTTGGTCTTTTCATCCTATTCTCAATGTTATTTATAACTTTAAGATGCTTTCAGTCACTTAATAGCTAATTCTAGTCACAATAATAGCTAAGTATCAATCAGAATGACTAAGTTTTCTCCTCTAACATAAATATTAGATGAATTTCAGTTATAATCCTTTGTCCTGTCTTTACCATCCTAGTACTCCTAGGAAATTAAAATTTTTTGACAATAACATTCAGGGATTAATTGATTTACAGAAAGACCTTCTTACCCATTTTTTAGGCAACTTTCCAAATTTAATTAAAGTAAAGGCATATCTCTGAACTCTAATGAGATCAACATAGGCAACATTCGACTTATTTTGGCAGTGGACTGTATTTTGATTAAGTGGTAGGTTATAAGAAATGTGTAAATTAAACTCACCCTTTTCTACTGGCATAGACATCGTACTTAACTGAGAGGGCCCTCCAGTTGATGCCTCTGTGAATTTCTGTCTAGGAATTGGGTGAGTGTGTCTGGTAGCTGGCACGGATTAAATATTATTTTTTAGATCTTATCAGATCTGTTTTCACTACTCACCACAATGTGACAATCGGGTATAATAGCTTTCACACAGAACACCCATAATTAAAAGATACTATGATACTAACTAAATGAAATCAGCTTAAATGATCTATAAGTTCCGCAATATCAGTCTGGAGCTGCGGACCGGTCAAAAGCAAGTCATTGAGTGAGTTTCCTCCCACCGTCTTCTCCGAACCATTAAATACGACTCTAAGTTTTGGCGTGGAAGAATCCTTAATGACTCCATGATGGGTCATGATGTATGGAGAATGGTTCTTGGCGAGGGGGACATGATCCAATCTTATCTCTTCATCCATCTGTGCAGCATAGGCAGACTTATACTCCGGATCTATCATAAATCTATTTTTCAGATTTCTAAATCTGCATAGAGCTATCTCTCTAGAAGAATCATGGCTAATCGGCTGGTTTGAACGGAACGGAAGCGAAACAACGAATCCACCCTGGAGATCACGAGTGAATGTATTTATGAAGTGATCTTCATAAAATATCACCATTCTGCATGAATACCACTGACCTGAGCAAATTCTACCCAAGGCAGTATCCAGAAGTACCTGGGAGTTGGTAGCATGGCACGAAACTGCATGAGAATTGTTTGTTACTTGAGACTGGGAGGGCTTAGTGTTGTAGCCTTATATAACATTATATCTTATTATTATGACTTTTTGCCACAAACTTGACAACAACCTTTACTTTGGTATTTAGGCAAGTGATGAGATCCCGTACAAGAAAAGCATAAATCAGACTTATTTAGTAGGTCATAACAGCCATTAACATCAGCAGAAACAGAAGGCAGTTTATAATTTTATGGCTTGATTTACAGACTGGCATTCTAACTTAAATTTCTGATTATCCGGTCTATTGCTGGTTAAAATGTTTTTTCTCTAAAATTTCTTCTTCCACAACACTACAACTCATGAAGAGTGTTGGCCTCCTCAAGATGTGTCCGCCAGACATCTCTATCCTGCGCAGCCACTTTCCAGTTATGTACATACACTTTTTGAGGGTGTTTAACTGTTGTTGGGAATTCGGGAACCTAATGCTTTTGTGACACTGAGTGACAAGAAATAATAAGCATATATATATATATATATATATATATATATATATATATATATATAATATGGGACTGAGTAAATACACTTTGAATGAATTGACTCACCTGGTTTGTTATTTGTCTTTGTGTCCCAGCCTCAAGTACCTTCTCTTCTCTCCAGTGTCCTTCTCCAGCTGTTGCTACCTGCTCCGTCCTATTCCAACCTTCTTGTTCCTTCATAGATTGTTTATCGATATGAGACTTTTCAATGAATAATTTGTCCACTGCACGATCGTACAATTCATCGTGCAACCTCACATTCCTATATATTCCTTCTCATTCCCTCACACAATGTCACATAAAGGAGTAAATACTGGGAGATGTCTACTACAAACTGCTCTCTATCGATGCTATCATAAGCAGCTCTAAAATCTATTAATAAATAGTGAGTTAACAAGTTAACATTATACTCCATAGTTTTCTCCAGCAGCATTCTAAGGGTGAATATCTGGTCAGAGGTCGATTTTCCTCTTCTGAATCCACACTGGTATTTGCCGATATCTCGCTCTGCAAACGGCAGAAGCCTCTGGAAGAGCACGTTTGATAGAACTTTGTAAGCACTGGAGAGCAGAGAAATGCCTCTATAATTTTCACAATTAAGTTTATCTCCTTTCTTGTATATAGGGCATATCGCGGACTTGTTCCAATCCTTAGGTAATTTCTCTTCAGTCCATATACTCAAGAATAGCACGCGTAAGATTTTTATTAGTTTGGTTCCCCTATATTTGTATAGTTCGCCTGGGAGTCCATCAAATCCTGGGGTCTTGTTGTTTTTTAGCTTTCTTATTGCCACCTCTACTTCCCCATAATCTGTTGGTTCCAGATCATCATCGGCACTATAACCAGGTGTTACAGCATCCTCATCAATGTTGTTATTTCTCAATCCTTCAGTAAGGAGGTCTTCGAAATATCTTCTCCATCTATCTAGAATACCCGTATTTTCCGTCAGAAGATTACCATTTCCATCTCTGCATGAAGAAATTACTGGTTGATAAGGTTTGCGCCCTTCGTTAATTTTTTGGTAAAATTTCCTCTCTTCGTTTAGATTCCTGTGTTCTTCAATGGTCTCCAACTCATTGCTTTCGTATTCCCGTTTTTTTCTCTTGTATAACCTTTTTTCAATTCTTCTTTTTTCACGATATTCCTCAGTTGCAGCTCGAGTATTTCTTTTTGAAGCATTTTTTTATATATGCCTCAATCTTCACTGCAGTCACCAAATGACACTCTTCATCGAACCAGGGAGATCTGACTGACCTTTCCTGCTTACCCAGAACTTATTCAACTGCCGAATCCAGCGAAACTTTGAACGCATCCCATATACTATCAATATTATGATCATCTTAAACATCTAGAGTTACTGATTTTAGATTTATTCGCTCCTCATATACTTGACGCACATCTAGATTTTTCAGTTTATTCGTACATCAGTGTTCGCTATCCCAGCCCTGATTCTGGCAATAAATGGTCAGAATCAATGTTGGCTCCTCTGTAGGTTCTGACATTGATCAGATTTGAGCGATGTCTTGCACTAATCAAGATATGATGATTTATAGTTCTTCCATCTAGGGTTTCCACGTACCTTTATGAATATTTTTATGTGAGAAGAGCGTGCTACCTATGATTAGGTTTTTAGTTGCGGCAAAGTCCACTAATCTTTGTCCATTATCATTAGTGTCATTGTGCAGACTATGCTGACCAATAGTCGGGAAGAATACGCTCTTATTGCCAATCTTTGAGTTGAAATCACCCATTATTATCTTTATGTCAGCACTAGGGCATGTATCTACTGTTTTTTCAAGAGTCTCGTAAAACTCATCCCTTTCTATGCCATCTGAAATTTCCGTGGGGCATGAGCGCTGAAAAGGCTATAATTAAAAAAATTCCTTTTATTCTTAAGTAGCAAATTTTGGAATTTACAGGCTTGAAATCTATAATTAACGACCTTGCATTCTTACTAACAATAAAAACGGTACCGAAGATATGATGCTTACTACGGCAGCTATAATATATAGTATGGCTCTTCTTTTCGATGATTCCATGTCCGGTCCAACTGAGCTGTGGTATCCCGTGAGGGCGCTGATCCCCAGGCATCTGCATGCAACAGATACCCCTTACGGGAGGCTGATTGCATCCTAACTGGATAGGCGATGGGGCCGCCTACTCCCTACATCATATTTCTCTATTTTAGGCTGTGAAATTTGGGATGTAGAAGGCTCGTCACACATTTCTGTGACTAAGTTGTGACCTTACAAATTTACAAAATTCTTCAAAGCTAGGAACTGTCTCTTTGCTGAGGCTATTATCAAACATTCTTCTTGTATTAGGGTCAACAATGTTCAGTCCGAGATTCAGTAAAACAAAATCAGCGAGGTAATTGAGTTTAAGATTTTATAAGGCATTATAATTATCTTCAAGTGTGTCCAGAAAGTTTCTAAAGTTGGAAGAATTATCAACAGAAAATGATTTAAACTGTATAATTTTGTTAATATAGTAGGCCGCAATTATCCTTTTATTACTATAACGCTTTACTAATTTATCATAGGCCAAATTGTAATTTTCTACGTTTAACTCAATTGAAAAAATGGGCTGTAAAGCAGGCTAAACTAAAAGTGACTTGAGATAAGAAAATTTGACTATATCCGTCTAATTTTGATGATGAATTAAGGCACCAAATAATGATTTAAATGAAAGCAATAGTTCCTACTTTCCAGAAAAAAAAAACCGGTAACAAACGTAAGAAAGGACATAAAATACCTTAAAAAGTAAACGAATTAATAGGCGAAATATCGAAATAGACGATTTTTACAAAAACTCTCATAACCTGCCAGGCAATTTTCCTCCTTTAGTAGGGCAAAACATCGCTAACATTGCAAAAAAATATATATAACTATAGCAACTATATAAAAACTATGTAATCATGTCCGGTGAATCAAAATGTTTAGGCAACTTTCCAAATTTAATTAAACTAAAGGCAACTAACTCTAATGAGTCCAACATAGGCAACATTCGGCAGTGGACTTTATTTTGATTGAGGTGGTAGGTTATATGAATTTTGTAAAATAAACTCAACATCTTACTTAACTGAGAGGCCTTCCAGTTGATGCCTCTGGGAATTTCTGCCTAGGAATGAGGTGAGTGTATCTGGTAGCTGGCACGGATTAAATTTTATCTTTTAGATCTTATCTGATCTGTTTTCACTACTCATAATGGGACAATTAGGTATAATAGTTTTCACACAGAACACCCATAATTAAAAGATACTATGATAGACTTCAAAACTAAATGAAATAAGCTTAATCAAATATGTTACTGTTTATGTTCTGGTAATGTTATCTATGGCATTGATAGCTTGAAAACACCATTTTGTTGATGTTTCATATGAATCATGTCCACTTTGCTTCTCCTTGGTATGTTTTCTGAGCTATACTATTGGGCTCTATATTGAAACCTCACTACTAAACATGGGGAGCATTCTCACTATTTTAAAAATATTGTAATGTATAGGATGATATTCACTGAGTACTTAATGTTTTACACTCATTTTCCATCTTATTCCTTCATTCCTTTTCAGAAATTGTTAATAACAAGGCTTATGGCATTTGCTATAATTCATACTTTCATTCCATAATTTGTTATGGAGAGATCTTGTCTACCATAGTGTACTGCAACATTCTTTCTAAATATCTTTCTATTTCTGCAATCTTCTAAATATCCACTCCTTAGCAGTTATATCCCTCAAACATTGGGTAATAAGTAAATGTATGGTCTTACTTTTATTTACATATCTGTTAGCTGATGGTAAAAGTATATTACTACAGTACACCATTAATGTCATTGTTATTATTCATTATTATGTCATTATTCATTATTATTATGTTGCCAACAGGACAAGGTAGTGTTGAAGGAATAACTTATGGCCCTGTAGAAAACGCTCTTTATTGGACATGCAACAATGCTGCAACAATTTACAAAGCCGATCTTAGCAACATATCAGCTGGTCCTCTGACGATTGTAAAATTGACATCATCAGATAAACCTAGAGGAATCGCAGTTGATCCTTGTGATTCGTAAGTCATATCGTAATTGGTGTATTATATATTATTTATTTAATGAACTATTCTAACTATGAATTGAAAGTTACATCATAACAAATTTAATGAGGTTATTAACTGTTTGATAGTTGCTAACATGCTCACAACCTGGTTGAATATTATTTTATCTATCTATCTCCGTGAAGCTACAACTCTGAGTGAGTTTGGGATGATGCCAGTGTATAATTGGGCGACGGACCGCCAACTCCCCACGCCATTATGCATGCACCGTCCAACTAATTATAAACCTGAAGAAATCTGAATTGGATGCTGATAAGGAGCCTATGTGGAAGGAGCCACAGCATTTTGTGGAAGCTGAGGAGAATGTAGTTCTTGTGCCATATTGTTCTTAAATTAATCCATCCTTTGAATTTAGAAGATTAGTCAGGATTATTATCTGTATTGTTATCGGCTCATTGTATCAGGCGTTTACTCTCTATGCATATTAAATTGTAGGGAAGGGTTTGTGAAAGTACCAACTCAGGGATTGTAAAGCACCCTCTTGTTGCCAGACTACAAGACTGTCTTTGAGAAAAACCTTTCACACACTTGTGCTAAGAGATATGTTTGAACTTGAAGTCTAAGTATGGTAACTGGGGTTCTTGGACCTTTAAGGATACTTGTTAATTTACAATAGCTTTTTCTGTAAATATATGTATAAATTACTAGTTTTTTTTTTTTAAGAAACTTTTTTATTTTTAATTTATCAATGTCAGAAGTTGACTTATATATTTTTTTTAAGATGTCTATTTGCTTATTTTTTTTATAAAACTCTGAGGCTCTAAAACCTACAATTGTGTTCTATTTTATTCTAAAGGGACTTGTCCCAGAATATATAAAGCATATTATTAATATTATTATTACTAAATACAATAAGATAAATATTACATGTAAGATAAAAGTAATATAGACATAATAGCATATCTTGAAAAAAAGAAAATGAAAAATAATAAAACAAATAAATTATTTAAATAAGTACAGGCTGGTGACCAACCTGAAAAAATTAGGAAAAGTCAGGGAATTTTTAAAACAAGGAGAAGTCAGGGAATTTTTTAGTGCATAAATTTTGTTTTCAAATTGAATATAAATACTCAGTAGAAATTGTTTAATCATCGTGATTACCTTGAAGGTGTATACTTTGTCATTATAAACGACCAAGGGCGTTATGTTCATCCATTTTTGACTGTCAATAATGGCACTGGTCGTTATATTGAAATCAAACAAGGATAATGAATATAATTTTAGTAAAATTAACTTGAAACAGTGCTTTTTTGAAAAGAAAAATGTATGAACATTTTTTTTTTCATAAAGCAATGAACTTCTTAACTGTAATTCTGTCTATAGATAAACATCCATGAGAACATTTTTCGATCATAGAATGTAGAGTACGGTCGAATATTAACTTCTTAAAAAATTGCACTTCACCGTGTCGAATATGTTGGAATCATGGTAATTCTTATGAACTGTCGGCAAAACATAATGCCATTCATTGTTAACTGAAAGAGATCGCTGGCAGCTTCACAGCTATTTTTTTTAAAAACAGTATCATGTCGGGAGCAGATAGTCTGAGATCCTGTGAGAAAAAATGACATTATTTATTTGACGAAAACTTTAAAAGCATATTTTTAAATATTTATGATATTTATATTTAAAAAAATGAGAGTCACCATTAAAACCTTGGCATTACCATCGATCAGACCCTCTCCTGGAAACCACACATCTTAAAAATTTCCTGCCTTACCATTTCTACCCTAAAACAGTTTAACCATATACGCTATCTCCTTCCACTCAAAACCCATCAACTCCTGGTTTCATCTCTTGTTTTCTTCCACTTCGACTATAGCTGTATGTGTATGGTGGACTCTCGGGAGAAATTGAAACCAAACTTAAACACTTAATAAATTGCTCAATGTGCTTTATCTTTAGAATCTCAAGGGATAGGCATATTACTCAGTATTACACCCAGTTGAAGTGGCTTTATCCGTCCTACTGCCTTCAGTATTTCCTTACTACCTTCCTATACCATGCTATTAGAACTCGGCGACCCTCCTATGTTCTACAGATCTTACAATTCAAATCCTCCATTCAATCCCATCCCACCAGATCCCGTACGTCTGACCTCTGTCCTCCTCACCGAACTGCTGTGGTTGATAAATCCTTTTTAACTCAAGCCGTGTCTCTCTGGAACTCTATTACTTCTGATATTTGACACAAAAAGTCAGTATCCTCTTTCAAATCTCTTTTCTTCAAACACCTATTTCGTTCACAAACTGGTTGATCATGAAATGCACTTCAAAATCTAAGTCGTAAGACTCTCAAAGTATCCCCAGATGCTTTGATTATTTTGTGATTTATTGATATTTTGTTATTTATTTTACTTTTCTCTATTTATTTTATATTTATGTACTTGAATATTTAATAGTTGACCGTTGCATTATAAAGGAAGGAGATGGTCCGGGGTGGCGGTCATAAGTAGGCTGAATAGTGGCAAAACTATTTTATTAAAAGCCCTATATTAAAAGGCAGACTGAGTGGAGTAGCCAGACCAGAAACCAGACTGGTTGGGATTTAGGAGGTTATTCTGTTCTAAAAAATCGGATAACTGAGTTTGAACTAGTCCCTCTAAAGGTTTGGAAAGGTTTGAGAGGAGAGAAATTGGATGGAAATCTGCGGTTTTCTGCGAACTTCCTACTGAGAAACTGCGGTTTCCTAGTGAGAAATTGTAGATATGGTAGAGGATTGGAAGGATGGATGGTAGTAAGGCTTTGATCAGTCTGAATGGGATGCTATCGGGTCCATAATCATTGGTTTGCGACTTTTGAATAGAGTTGAGGAGGTCATCAGATATAATATGGGAAAAAAAGAAGTGATCAGGATTAAAATTTATAGGGAAACACATAGACTGTATAATCGCAGGAGATGAGGTCGAGAAGGGACAGAAGACAAAGTGAGCGTTAAGATCATCAGCAGAAAAGGAATTGAGCTGGGTTTGAGGTGTGTTACAAATGGTCAATTTTTTGAGGATAGCCCACTTGACCTTGGAGTTTGGGGTGTTGGATAAGGAATGGTGGAAATAATGGGATTTTGCTCGGCGGCGTATAGCAGACTGAGTGCTGTTTCAAAGTTGCTTGAAGGCGATATAGTATTCCGGGAATTGGGTATGTTCAAACCGCCGTCTTGCCGCATCTCTTTTTCTCATGCACTCTCTCAGAGCGGGTGTCAGCCAAGGAGCAGGGGGATGTCGGATGGTTTTAGTTAGGAGAAGAGCATGGCAGTCGAGGTTGGTATGAAGATGGTTGGTAAGGATTTCTACCATGGCATCAATGGATTTTAAGGAATAAATGGGGTCCCACTGGATAGCACCGAGATCCTGCGACAGGGCTTCATAGGAAAGGTAATTGAGGTTTTGGAAGGATATGGTTTGAGGAGAAAAAATGGGAGCGGGATGTTGTAGGAAATCTGGATAAGATCATGGGAAGACAGAAACGAAACCGGGTGCTGAGATGCTGCGAAGAGTTTATCCAGGGAATCCAAGATAAACAGATCAAGCCAAGACTCTGAGAACTGGGTATGATTGGTAGGGTTGTAGGGTACTATATAAAGGCTGAGGGATTGGAGGAGGCCAGTCAGGTAAGAATGGGAAGAAGATGGTATCATTAAACTGGTATTGAAGTCTCCGGAGAGGATAATATTGGAGTAGGAAGGGATCAAGTTGTAAAGGAAAGTCTCAAATGATTCATCAAAGGGAATTCTGGGAGGGTGAAAAATGTCTGCAAAGAGAAGTGGGAATGATGGGGTGAGAATTTCAATAAAAAGATATTTCAGGTATGGAGAATCGGTATGGGAAGAGCAATGCAGGATTTTGAATTTAAGGCTGTCATGGATAAAGAGACCTACATCTCCACCTGTACGATTGACTCTGTCATGACGAAGGAGGGTATAATTGGGTAAAGTAATTTGGGAAGATGGAATAGAGGGCTTTATCCAGGTTTCAGAAACTGCAATTAAATGGTAGAAGTTGCGGAGGAAAAAATCATAAAATTCATCAAAATGGGCTAGGAGTGACTGAGCGTTGACGTGGCAGGTTAAAAGGACATTAGTCATGGGAGAAGGAAGGATGGCTTGGTTAACAGACTGGAAGGGCTTGAGGTAGGAATATTTCTATACCTATAGTGGTTGGAACTACTATATGCATCGGAAAAAACAATATTTACGTATTCTAAAATGTATAAAATAATAAAACTTAGACTGTTCTTATAAACAAAAATAAAATAATTATCAAAATATATAAAATCAAAAACAACCAAATTATAATCTTGAAAAAAAATAAAAATAAAAGTGGGCAAAAACAGAAATGAAAACTAAAGTGTGCAGAGCAATGAAACGTGTGAGTACAAATCATGTGAATATGTCCAGGTCCGATGGAGAGTTAATCATCTCGTCTGCATAATCATCTCGTTTCTGGCCATCATCTCATCTGGATTTCATTATGCCCGCATTGAACCAGACGTATCTGATCTTTCCTGCAAACTTCTTCTGTCGGGCTAACCAATATAGGTGTCGGTTGTTTACGGACATTGCCTCGCTTACATCTATTTTGTGAGCGTCATTTTCCTGCCATCCCAGGTGATGAGTTGAGAAGTCCCGTATTACCTTCTGCCTTTGGACCAACTCATCTCTGAGCGTCTCTCTAATGAATCTCACCAGAAGCTGCCTGGGTGTATCATCCAGCCTCGATCTCATCTGCTACGCACAATCGATATCTTCTGGCTTTAAGTTCAGGCCCAGGCCAGCCCCCACGCCCATCACCAGGCCCATAGACTTCTCCCCAGACCTCACCGGGACTCCCCTTATTTCAACCGACCTGGAAAGGTGCATTTGCTCGGACCTGTTAAGTCTGGTTTCAAGCTCCGACACCTGAGACCTGAGTGTCACATTTTACTTCATTAGTCTTTCCAACTTCGAATTTAGGGTCTCCAGAAGGGTTTCTATTGTTTTTAATTTTTCCGTATTTTCAAATGTTATATGTCATTATACTTTATATGCCAAGTATAAACTTTTACCTCCTCTCAGTTTATAAAAAAAATAAAATGAAGATGATAAAAATAAGTTATTAAAAGTTTAGTTTTCTAAAATAAAAAATTCTTTCTCTAAAACATTATATTACTTATTTGATTGATTGATTTTTTTTTTTTTTTTTTTACTGTAATCATTTTTTCATTTTTACTGTAGTCAATTGTCTTTCATGTATAATAAATCATACATTTCTAATATTTGTGTCCCCAGACATATTGGTCAGAGAAAACTATCATTAAATAGGGAAATGTCATGGAAAAATTAGGGAATTTTACTTTGACTGTCTGGTAGCCACCCTGTAAGTAGTACTAATAAATAAATAAGAAGTATGCATAAAACAGTAGAGCATTGGATTGTAGCATCTATTGGAATACTATAGAGTAGAGGAATCCAAACTACCCGCAAGCATCTTCAATCCAGACTGCGAAGATTTGTTTGACTACATGATAAAACTTTAAAAAATATTTAAAAATATGAAATGTAGCAAATTTCTCACACACCAGAGAGGTTACTACAACATTTATTACATGGCTTTTTCCTCTTAGAAAGCTCATTTCACAGCTAAAGTGTCATTTATAGAACAAAATTCTTTTTTCATCACAAGCCATCCCCCTCAGGACTTAGGTGGAAGTTGCAATGCGGCCCATGGAACTTAGTCGAGGTATCAATCTGGCCTTTGGTTCAAAAAGTTTGGAGATCTCTGTTATAGAGCATTATTATACGGTGAGTTTAAGTAACTAAAAAGAAATATGAATATTCTTCATAAACATTCATTAAATTTATAGTCCCGTTGATGATCCATATGCTAGGGTTGAAACATTGGCAAGTTTAATAAAACAAATCTAGACTGATAATCCTGATTATTTATCATCCTTATGAATTTTCTATTTACTCAAAATATAATATTCTTATTTTTTCATTGACAGATAATTATAATGGTGATATAGATAAACTAATTTTTATCATTGTTTGTATTGTTGTTCAAATATTTATTTAAATTTCTTTCAGACGATTGTACTGGACCAACTGGAATTCTGCTAACCCTAGCATCCAACGATCTTTTACAAGTGGTTATGGTCTTGAATCTATCATAACAACTGATATAAGAATGCCTAACGCGATCACATTAGATCATGGTGCTCAAAAATTGTATTGGGGTGATGCACGATTGGACAAAATAGAGCGGGCTGAATATGACGGTACTAATAGAATAGTACTTTCTAAAGCAACACCACAGCATCCTTTTGACATGGCTGTTTATGGAGAATTCATATTTTGGACTGATTGGATTCAACATTCGGTTATGAGAGCAAATAAGTACACTGGAGAAGAAGTGGTTTGGTTGCGGAGAGATGTCCCTCGACCTATGGGTATCATTGCGGTTGCAAACACTTCATATGATTGTTTTTATAATCCATGCAGAGTTTTGAATGGTGAATGTGAAGATATTTGCCATCTTGATTCAAGAGGTGTCAAGCAGTGTTCATGTCATCCAGGTTATTTTATTTTTTATCATGTTTTATATAATAATACTGTTTTAAAAATCTTTATAGTTATTTTAAATGTCTAGTTATGTTTATTTGCTTTCTAGTGATAGTCTATCTTATTATTAAGTATTTTAATAGAAAGTTTGTAGTCGTATCTTATAAGTTCGGTGTAGTTTAAAAAAAAAAAAATTTTTATAAAATATTATTTCAAAGGACACCAAATGTACAGTTTTCACATCATGTATTATTTATTTGACATTTCGGCTTCAGGAACCATTTTCAAGATCCTGCAAACTAATTTTAATTCAGTTGTTATAATTCAAACTACATCATTATAAAACATATTAAGTCAATAACAATCAGTCATATAAATAGTCCAAATTCTATTTTATAAAAAAAATGTTTATAACATAGCATTTTGGTTAAAATTAATGTAAAATTTATCATCTACTTACCATGCACCACTTCATAAAATTTCCTAAAATGTTTCATTATAATATAATTCATCAGTTTGTCATTCTTTTATTTCATTGAATGTCGTTTTTCACTTCTAAAGGTTATAATAAATAAATAAATAATTAAAATAGAATGTTAAAAATTTTAAGAAAAGAAAACAAAAAGAATATCATTTGTTCTCAATTTATGAAATGAAATGAAAAAATTATTTTATTCTGTGACTACTGTCCCCTAAGAATAATAACAGAGTTACAAATTTATGGATCTTAGTCTGACATAATAAAAATACAAACTAATTTACTGTTAATTGTTATTTCAATTGTGCAATGGATTGAAATTAAACATTGTATAGATGCAAGTAATTTTACATGTTAGGGGAAGTTTGAATGTGGAGTAGGTGTTGGAACAGGAGTTGTTTGAAGGAATTTGTGGACGAGGATTGACGCATGGAGGTAGGAAGTGAGTTCCATAAGGAAGCAGCACGAATGACGAAGGATTTGCTGAAGGAGGAAGTTTTATGGGAGGGAATATATAAGTCTATAGGTTGAGACCTAGTATTGAGAGAGTGGATAGAGGAGCGTAGAGTAAGGAGTTCCAGGATGTAGGGAGGGTTTTTGGTTCTGAAGACTTGGAAAAGGAAAACACCAAGGAGGAATTGTTGTCGGGAAGTAGGATAAAGCCACTTCAACTCGGTGTACCAGAGTGAAACATGTGAATGCTTGGGGATCCCGAAAATGTATCTTATGAAACAATTCATGAGTCTCTTTAGTCTCATTTCCAGCCTGGCAGGTAGCCCTCCATACACCAAACAGCCGTAATCGAAGTGGGGGAATACTAGGGAGGTTACAAGGAACTGTCTGGTTTTTAGAGGAATACAATCATGGAATCTTAGGAGTTGTTTAAGGGCAGTTATGGGTTTTTGGGTAATCTGGGAGATATGGTTATTCCAGGAGAGGTTCTGGTCAAACGTTACTCCTAGGTTTTTGACTGTAGGGAAAAAATGGATGGGACAGTTATTGAGGTTAAGTAGAGGAAAGTAAGGAAGGGAGCTGATGAGATATCTGGACCCGATGATAATAGCCTTGGTTTTATCTGCATTCAGCTTTAATTCATTTATTTCTGCCCATCTGTTGATGCAGTCAATGTCCTCTTGTAGCCTCCTCAGGCATCTCAGAAGGTTGGAATGATTGTTTATTTGGAAATCATCGGCATATAGGTGGTAACTGGAGTGTTGATGGCATTAGGAAGGTCACTAATATAGATGGAGAAAAGGGTTGGGGAGAGTGAGGAACCCTGAGGAACACCTCGTGTTAATTGAAGGGATGATAATGGAGGTTTGTTCGGTATTGTAACTGTCTGAGATCGATTGGATAAGAAAGATAGGAACCATTTTAGGATGCTATTTGATATGGGCAGGCTTTGGAGTTTGGAAAGAAGGATCTCATGATTAACTGAATCAAACGCTTTGGAAAAGTCAAAAAGAATTAGGATGGAGATTTTCTGTTTATCTATGGCAGATTGGAGGTCTTGGGTAATCCTTAGCAAGGCAGACTGGGTGGAATACTGGGAACGGAAACCAGATTGTAAAGGATTGAGGAGATGGTTTTGCTCGAGAAAGCTGTTCAACTGAGAGTGAACTAATCTTCTAGAGACTTGGATAGATTGGATAGAATGGAGAGTGGTCTGAAGTCGGAAGCTGATGAAGGAGTTGGAACTTTGTTGAGTGGACGGACTATGGCTCTTTTCCAGGATTTGGGAAAAATGGAATTTTGGAGAGAGAAATTATTTATGTGTAGAAGTGCGGGTATTAAAGCCTGGAAGGCAGAGTTTCATAACTTTAACAGGTATTTGTTCAGGACCATAATCATTCATTTTAGATTTAAGGGTGGCAGAGAGTAGGTCAGTAGGGGAGATATCGAGAAAGTAAAACTTATCAGGATCAAAGGGGGTTTCGGTAATGGAAAAAGATGAGCGGTCAGATGGAGATGTGGATAGAAAATGGTTAGAGAGGTTCTTAAGGATTTTCCATTTGAATTTAGGGTTAGGTTCTTGGGATAAAACGTTTTTAAGTATTGGGCTTTGGAGCGACGTAGGATCATTTGTGTGAGATTTCGTAGGGATTTAAATGTGGAATAATGCTAAGGTAGTCTAGTACGTCTGTATTGTCTTCTAGCAGTTTCTCTTCTCCACATTAGTTCTCTTATTTCTGTATTGATCCAAGGAGCTGGAGGGCGTCTAAAGACACGTGTTTTTAGAGGTGCGTGACGATTGAGGAAATCGAGGAGGTTGGAGGAAAGGCATTCAACCATATCATCGATGGAGGGGAGAGAATAGATGGGTTCTAAGCAAGTGGAAAGGGAATCGAGGAAGGTGCTGATTTTTTCAGTGGTTGAGGAATCTAGATCTCTCCAGGAAATTTTTTTGGGTTTAGGTGAAGGAGTAGAGAAGTTGTATGTTGTTTCAATAAGATCGTGGGATGAAAGGAAGGGAACTGGAATTTGCGTAGAGGATAATAGGTTATGGGGGGAATCTATAATAAATAAATCTAGCCAAGTATCAGTGGATTGGGTGTGATGGGTGGGTTGAAAGGGTACAATAAATAGATCTAAGGAAAAAACTAGGTCGGTAAGATATGTTCTGTCCAGAGTATTTGAAAGGAGGTTGGTGTTGAGATCACCATCAATAATAATATTTTCGTAGAGAGGAATATATGTAAGGAGGGAGGATTCGAGAGTAGGATCGAATCGGACACGAGGAGGTCGGTAAATAACGATAAAGAGTAGAGAAAAGGTACTAAAGGAAACTTGGACAAACAGATATTCTATGTTAGGGACGTCTGAAGGAGGAGATTTTAAAAGGACTTTGGCCTTCAAACTGTCATGTACGAACAATCCCACACCTCCACCTGTTCGTTCCATTCGATCATGACGGAAGAGGGTATAGTTGGGTAAGGAAACGGTTAGGGAGGGAATATCAGGTTTGAGCCAAGTTTCAGAAACAGCTATGGTATGATGGAAGTTATGGTGAAAATAATCGAGGAATTCGTCATAATTTGCTAGAAGGGATTGGGAGTTAACGTGACAGGATATTAAGGTATTGGTCATGAAGAGGTTAGGGTAAGGACAATCTGCAGAGTGTGACAAAATGGTGTTAATATTGATGGAGTAGGCACATTTTTAAACTTACATAGTGAGATATAATAATAAATTATGTACATAATATTGATATAAATAAAATGAAAATAAAAGATATTCATAAAAAAGAGGTTGGAGGGAACAGTGAGACCTATTTCATTCCAGCAATTCAATGTCTTCCTTTTTGTTGACGATTATGACCGGGGATCCATCCTGTCTTCTGCATCATGTCTTTCCTCCAGCGAACCATACGTATCTCAGCATACCCGACGCCCTTTTCTGCCTTGCCAACCATTATAAATGCTTATTACCTGGACTCATTTCTTCCCCCAGATAAATCCTCTTGTCGCTGTTCCGGCCTAGATTCTGAGTGGAAAAGTCCCTCTTGACCTTGCGCAAACAGATGACTTCGTCACGCAAAGTCCGGCGGACAAACCGCACGATGATTGCCGGTGGCCTAGGGTCCTCTCTTCTGGTCCTTTTCCTCTATACGAAATCCAGGTCTTCAGCACCCAGCTTTATGCCCAGAGCTGCACCGATAGAGCACACCAAGCCCTCGGTAGATTCTCCACCATTGGATGTGATACACCGTATATCCAGGGAGTTGGATAGCTGAGCTTGTTCAGCTTGGTTCAGTCTCACCTCCAGGGTACTAATTTGAGATTTTAACTGTTTATTCTCACTGATTAAATTTTCTATTATTTTCTCTTGCTTCAATGCCATCTCTTCTATTTTTTTAAGTCTCTCATTATTTTCAAATGCGAGATTGCTTTGCTTTCCGAGTGATACTTTAACTTCCTTTATATCCCCGGCGATCTTTTTAACCTCAGCCAAAATAGAGGTATTGCTCTCTTCTGACACACCCACGGTTGCTGTGCCCCGTTTACTTTGAGGTTTTGTACATGATGTACAAAACCAATTTTTTTTTTAGTTGCTGCGATACGTCGGCTTCAGAGACGTTAATACATTTTTTATGATATATTAATTTGCACTTTGTGCAAACAAATGTAGTTTTATCCTCTCTGGCAATAGTATTATTGCATTTAGGACATAGAGTCATCGTGAGCAACTGATTAACTGGATAATATTAATAGAGTAGATACTGGTAGAGGTGGTGGGGAAAGGTAGCCGTAGTGGGGTTAAGCGCCTTATCTTACGCTCGGCTATATCACAACAATTTTAAATTGTTTTCTTACCTTATATTGTTTATTTGGTATTGATGATTTAGTTTAATAGTTAATATTAATCGCCAACACAATTAACATTAACAGCACTTTAATTAGTGACGGTGAACTGAACTGTAATAGCACCACTTGAAATTAAACACGAACACCGATGCTATCTGTTTGAATGCTGGGGCCAGACTGATCATGTCTGTTTTTATGTACCTCTTTCCTAGACGATATTAAAAGTGTTTCT